AATTCCTGTCAGCTATTTAAACCATACTTTCCAGCTTCTTTGAACTTATTTTACTACTCTGAAAATGATCATCGAAGACCCATTAACACTCTCTTGAAATATTAAAGCTTAACATGCATATTAGGTAAATAGGTTATCAACATGTGATTAGCAAACAGTCATGCTTTCCTGTTCAAAGTGTAGAACTGAGTCTGCCTTCCCAGGCAATTGGACAATAGGTCATAAGCGCTTTCAGAAATTTTACATCCCTGACCCTTCTGGAAATATTTCCTAATGATATATTAGAAAATAATCAGAGATAAGGACAAATATTTTTATGCAAGGATATTTGCTATAATCATATTTATAAAAATGAAAACTTAGAGTCATTCTACAATCCAATAACAGGAAATTTGTGAAATAAATTATGGTGCATCTCTATGATATAATAATATTATACTGTTAAATGTTCACAATATAATGTTATTTGAAAAATGAGGCAAAATTATATTTACAGTGTGTTTTTTGTTGTTGTTAAACACACACGCAGCCTTAGAAGGGCTCCTACAAAACCATTAAGATTATCTCTGAATGACAGGTTATAAGTAATTTTTTGTTTTCTATAGTTTTAAAATTTCCTACAATGCATTTGTATTACTTAAAACAATGAAAATATTTGAAACATCAGTCATTAGATACCATTTCATATTCATTATTAGTGTAGAGTTAAGATGCTATAATCATGAAATAACCTTAGCCACAATCTTATAGACTTTCAATCAAAGGTAGTCTTTTATTATTGCTCCACCATAGGATGTGTGGTTGGTGGATTCATCAATACCCTTCCGTCATGTAAGTTGTTTGGCTCATGGCATTTTCATGATTAATCCAGTGGGAAAAGCCGGATTTAGCCCAAAGCACTGGCCTCCTTGGTGACAAGCAGCCCCTGGCCGGGATGGATTGGAGAGGTGAAAATGAGGGCAAGCTGGGGACCTACCTTCCCTGAAACGGTTTTCTTCGGGGCTTGCTTATCTGATCTGATTTCATTTTCGTCAGAATTTGAACAAACCACTACACAGGTATGTTTGGGAGGGAAGGGGTTAAGTCTAGATTCTGGATTTGTTGTGAAATTACTTATCTCTTGAGTTGCCGACAGAAAAGAACATTTGTTAAATACCTCAAGGAATGAAAGTAGATTTTCTTCCAGTAAGAATGTGGCAGATGAAACCTGGTTATTTCTTTATCTCCAATCAGATGAATGTTTGAGTTAAAAAAAAACCAACAACAAAAAAATCCCAAACAAAACAAAACAGATCAAAGTCACCTTTTGAACGTGTCATACATCTGTACCTGGTGTGTGGCCCTGACTTCCAAGATGACCTACGATATTTATTTTGTAAAATAAAGTTCAAAAAGGCAAAGATATCACTGACTTACACCAAACACCCAATAACTCCTGCAAATGGATGGTCAACAGGCATTGACATACATTCCTTATTTTGACCAGGAAGGGGTCGAGTTATTCTCAAGGTTAAGTAAAGGTCATCTCTCTCTGCCAACTGCCACTCAGGGGTGATGGAAAAGCAAAGGCTGAGGCTGGGTGCCTGGAAATTTCACTTAAGAAACAAACGGCCCCAGTCTGTCTGCTCACTGGGGTCACTTCTATTAGTTTTCCCGTGATTGTACCAGATCAGTAGTCAAGTGAAATGCGGATTCGTCACTGATAGAATCTCTGTCCTGGGTTGACAATTCTTTCATTTGTGTGCCTTTGTGGCCAGGGCCATTATTTCTAAGTGCCTGCTGATCCTGCAGCCGGTCATGCGTCTTTCATGACATTAAATTCAACCTTCACGTCAGATGCTGATGGGGAGTTTGGTCTGTAGAAGCTATCGGACTAGTTTCCCAAACTAGTAACTTTAGTAACTTCAGGAAAAAAAATCTTAAGACTCATCAAAATGTGAAAGTAGAAAGCAGACAACGATGGCTTCCTAGTAATGTAAGGTTGTTAAAAGATCTCCACAGAAGGGATAATTCTGATTATTTCGGTCCTTCAACGATTTGACTCCTTAAAATAGGGAAAAAAGTTGGCTCCTCTCTCATTCCATCTTCAAAACAACTTACTTGTACGTGTTCTGACGACTTAACACAGGGGCCTCTGAGCTTTCCTCCGTTCACCAAGCATACGAGGGTACTTAGCCCCTCTGTGCTGGGAGCAGGGTCGTCCGGGAAGACACAGCCAACAGGACGGTGACCGTGGAGGCTGAGAAGTGCCGCCACCCGTCACCTGTGAGCTGCAGACCCAGGCGAGCACGCCGGGTCCGGAGGTCTGAGGGCGAAGCGTCGACGCCCACGGGCAGGAGAAGGTGGGTGTCCCAGCTCAGGAAGGGCGAATTTGCCCTTCCTCTGCCTTCTGTTCCGTTTGGGCCCCAAGGGATCGGGCGATGCCCACCCACCTGGGAGGGCAGACCTTGCTCACTCAGTCACTGACTCGACTGCCAGCGCCCTCACAGACACACCCAGAACTCATGTGTTACCAGCTGCTGCCCAGGCGTCCCTAGCCCAGGCAAGTCGACACACAGAATTAGCTACCACACCCGTATAGGCATGGTGCCCAGTGTCAGTGAGTTATAGGGGGTGTGTAAATGGATATAATCTCTTTAGAGATCAGTCTGGAATCATATATGAAGTGTCTCAAAAATGTTCAGGCCCTTTGTGGCTGTAATAATTCCACGGTAAGGAACCTAGCCCAGGGACGCCATTTCACAAGACGATTTTAGCCACAAAGATGTTCTTTCTACTCATCATTTCAACAGGGGAGGGTAGACAGTGTACCGGAACCATCGTCGTCTTCCTGTGTTTCCGCCGCAGTCATCGACACTGTCTGCCTTCCTGGGGAAGGAGCGAGTGGGAGACACTTCAGCCATTCTCTCCTCCCTGCTACTCTTTATACTTAGGGGAGCCGTGTGGCCTCTCAAGTGGGTGCACACGGGTAAAGACCACTCACTGCACTGTCTGCGCTTTGCCTGGACCTCCCGGTGGGTTGCAGCCACCACGTGCTCTTGTGGGGGCAGCTGGTCGGGCCAAGTCTCTGGACTGTAGGCCCAGCCTTCTCACATCAGATGCAGGGAAGAGGGCCCGGTTTTGGCTTGCAGAACACGCCAGCCCTCCTGGTTTCTAGCACCTCCTCCTTGTTCACCAACCGAGAACAAGGAGGAGGTGCTAGAAACCAGTGTCAGAGGGCCGGATGGGGCTCCCGAGGCGGCCTCAGCCACTGAGGCAGGCCAACTCACAGCTGCTTCTGACATCTGGGAGCCAGGTAAACATGCTTTATAACTCAAGTGGGCCACCCTGGCTGACCGTGGTGTGAGCAGTGTGGCAGCTGAGTCACTGTGAGGCTCGGGCTGGCGTCATCCAGCCCTGGCCATGTGACCCCTGTGACTACGATCTCTACCAGCAGAGCTTAGGCTTTCTGGGTTTGCAGACACAGCCTGAGACAGACATTTTGTTCCCGGAGAGGGTTCCCTGTGCGTCACGTGGAACAGGTGTCATCTTGCCCAGAAGCACCCTGGTTTGAAGGAACACACGACCTGGGACACACTAGGGAACAGGAACAGCAGACTCGTGCCTCCCATCTCATGCTTCCTGAGCAGATACATGATTCATGAAATGGAATTCCCAGTATTCCCAACTACTTAAAATTATTCATTTCTTTTTCTTACAGAAGGTGTAGTTAAATTTGCGTAAGTTAACATGTGCGACTCCACTCACTCGGGGTGTCAAAGGTAGAAGCCCCTGCTGCGAGGCAAGTTTAGATTTGGTCCTGAGGGCCTGCTGTGCGAATACCCTTGCAAAGCAATATATGGTTTGCTTTTGTACAACTTACTTCTATCTGAGCTTCTTACTGTTACACCAGATACATCCCATCCAGGTGTTAACGAAGGGGTGTCACTCTAGCTCATATAACAAATCTCCAACCCCTCCATGTATGTCTCCGAATACTGTCTCACCCAGTAAAGGCACAACCATCTGCTCCTCGATCCAAACACCCTTGACCCCACCTTCTCTCGTAGCCCGTCCACCTGCCCGGTCGGCCGGGTCTCCGGTGCAGGCTGAGGAGCTGGCTGCCCCTCCCAGCCCCACGCTACCCTCTGCTCTAAGGGGCAGGTCCTGCCTGGACTAGTACAACAGCCTACTGACTGTTGTATTAATAAGGCAGCCGCCTTACTTCCACTCTTGTCCCATCCCTAACTCCCCCTTCCAGATCCATCCTCTCTCCACCAGCCAGTGGCTTTTTGAAACTATAAGGCCGGCGACGTCACTCCCTTCCTTAAAGCCTCCCAATAGCTCAGTATCTAAAGGGCCTCAAACTCATCACACTGACATCCGGACTTCTCCAGGCTCGCCCCAGACCGCTGCCCTCCTGGAGCCCGCTCTAAGCCCCCTGCTCGCCTCGGTCCTTAAGACCCATGCAGCTCCTTCCCCCGTGGAAGTCTGTGTCCTAGCTGCTCGGAGGTTCACCCCGCCCCACCCATCTTTACACGCCCGGCTCCCGTTTTTGCCAATCAAATCTCACGCTCAGCTGCCCCTCACTGAGCAGCCCGCCCGCCTGACCGCTCGATCTGAAGCAGTCACCCCTTTACTTTTTAGAACTGTGCACCGTGCTGATTCTCTGCGTAGCACCCATCACAACGAATACTGCCTTATTTATGTGCTTGGTCTTTCTTCATCTGCCTCTACAATGTAGGCTCTTTGAGAAGCTTATCATTGCAACATCCTCAGTGCCCAGAAAAATACCTGGTCCGTGGTGAGTACTCCATGTACCATTTGTGTCATAGACATGAGTCAGACGGCAAGGACACAGCCATCAGATGTACCCTTTCCCAGATCCGAGTCTGGGGTCTGGGCCTCGAAGAAGGAACAGCAGGAAAGACACGACTGCTCTCTGAAAGCGACAACACCGAGGACTCTCGAGGGAGGGACGTCCTGCTTCCACTCACACGTATTTTCCAAAACGTCTGCTATATACGTGGTCCTGTGGTGTTTTATTTACTCTGTCCATTCATGACTGATCTCTGAGAACAATATTAGTAGAACTTAACCGAGGAGAAGTTCAACTTGACATTTTTCAAAATATTTCAATACCGGGTGTTAAGAAGAGAGAGAACTATGGTTGACATTATTTTGTAGAAACTTATCATAATAAATGTTTGAAGGTAGTCTCTAATACACACCATCAGCTTTGGGTGTGGAGTTCCTTGGTCCTAAGGAAGAACATTTGGTTTACTTCACCAATAGGGATATCTCTCAGAGCCGGGATGGCCTCCTCCTGGTACGCCTTCTGCTGCTGGTTTTTGGCGTAGTTGTCTGCAAGGAGAGGACAAAGGCGCTGACCGCCCAACCGTTTCTCCTAGTCCCTGCGGTCTGCGGAGACCTACCACACAGGCCACTGGCTAACGTTTGGGTAATGGCAGATGCCACGTGTAAGTGTAATGAAAAGATTACTTAAATTCTCTCTTGAGAAGAAATGTCCCAGTTAGAATAGAAATGAGCAAAGCACTTTTTCGCCTGGAGAGAAGTTACTATTTTACTCATCAGTATAATGATGACTGAAGTCCCATTTGCACATTCCCCATAGGAGCAGAATTCCAACCAGGCCTAGAAAATATATTTAAGTCCTGGCTGGCGTAGCTCAGTGGATTGAGCGCGGGCTGCGAACCAAAGTGTCGCGGGTTCGATTCCCAGTCAGGGTACATGCGTGGGTTGCAGGCCACGGCCCCCAGCAACCGCACATCGATGTTTCGCTCTCTCTCTCTCTCTCTCCCTCTCCCTTCCCTCTCTAAAAATAAATAAGTAAAATCCTAAAAAAAATAAAAGAAAATATATTTAAGTCAACACCCGAAAACGGTTAAGTCATTTGGTACAATCATTCATACGAACCTAGCACTTTTCCCTCTCTGCACAAATTGTCTATTTGCTGTAATTCCAGTCAGGAATGCTGGGAATACAGTAGTTTATCAGAAAGAAAATACAAAAATATTATAACTCATTTTCAAAGTACATTGTATAAGCTCACCAAAAAAAAATGACTTTGAAAAGTTAAAAAATCATATCTGGGAACTTAAAAAATGCTTCACTTCCTGGAATCTAAACAAGCTTAGGAATCTGCCTAACTGATTTTAATCTTTAGACTTCAAAGCGAGAGCTTTAAATAAACAAAACTGCAAAAACAGGCTGTGGCTCAACCACCCCCTTTCTGGGGTCAGGCACGCACAGTGACCCTGAGGGTGCACGCCCCCAAAGCCCTCCTCCTGGACAAGTCCTGCGAGGCCTGCGCGCCGTCCCTCCACCAACGCCGCCTGTTTGGGGTAGAAGTTGTTGCTGTCGAGCAGAGCTGCGGAGGAACAGACTATCTACTTGCGGCTTTTACGTGCAAATACACCCGTTAGCTAGTGCCGTGAACAGCGCGTTCACCAGAACTTACTTCCCGAGGAGACACCCCTCTGGTATATATACCTCTGCGGCATTCTCCCCAGTCCTTCCCACCCACCGTGCCGCTGTGCCGCGTTCTCCTGCACCCTGTTCTGGCTGCTCTTCTTGATAGAAGCGCGGCGGCGGCCCCACTCCTGCACCCTGCCCCCGCCCCCCACTCCCCGTCCGCGCAAACTGACCTGTGACCGTGTGAATGGAGTTGAGGGGCGAGGTGTCCATCATGTTCACCCCAAACAAGAGCACGTACCCGATGACGATAGTGATGAGCAGGTAGACGGGCAGCGCCACCGCCCAGTACCTGCAGGCGAGAAGACGAGGTAGGTAGGAGGTAGGTAGCAGGCTTCCCCCCAAGTTGTACTTCTTACTAGTCGGTCACTAGGTTAACACCGCTTTAAAGACTTAATTTCGTTGAAGTAATGTATGTACATAAGAGACAGTCACACAGTTCTACAAGGCCTGTCGTGAGAAGTCGCAGGCTGTATCCCACCCGGCCCAACCCCGGAGTCTCACCCCGCAAAAAGGCACTCGAACACCCGAGCGGGTTTCCCAGTACTGCCCTCGCACTCACGCTGTCACGGTTTTCCCAACCGCGGACATTTGCTCTGCGCTTCCTAAGGTGGAGGTGAGGAGCCCAGCTCTTTTCTGCCCTCTCACCTGCCTCCTGTCCTCTTATGGTGCTCGTGTCACACTTTCTGGGCATGCCCGGGTTTTAAAAACTACTGAGACCATAAACAATGCTTGTAACTGAGTGCCTCGGTATTATTATATGCTTTCTTATACAACTTTTTTTTGCTTTTTCTGGAATTAGCAACTCCGCTTCTTTGTGTGTTTGCTTATTTTCCACGTACCCATCAGTCCTCAACCCCCCGGTCTCCGCAGGACGGGGCACTGTTTCTTCAGTCCTCCCCCCCACCTTCTCTCCAGGACTTCTAAGGGTTAACCGGTTTTCACCCTGTTATGCTTTCCTCATCTTTTCTCTATTTTCCATTTTTCTATCTTCTACTTTCTGGAGATGATCTTTGGTTTATCTTTTAACCCATCAAGTAAAATTTTAATTTTGGCTATCATATTTATAATTTTCAAAACCAGAAGTAATTCCTTGAAGAGTTTGCTTTTTTTATAGCATTGTTTTAATATATTTTATTGATTATGCTACTACAGTTATCCTATTTTTTTCTCCCCTTCATTCCCCTCTGCCCTGTACCCCCCTCCCACCATTATTCCCCGACCTTAGTTCATGTCCCTGGGTCATACATGTAAGTTCTTTGGCTTCTACATTTCCCATACTATTCTTACCCACCCCTGTCTGTTTTGTACCTTCCATTTATGCTTCTTATTCCCTGGACCTTTTCCCCCATTCTCCTTTCCCGGGCTCCCTGCTGATAAGCCTCCATGTGATCTCCATTTCTGTGGTTCTGTTCCTGTTCTAGTTGTTTGCTTAGTTTTTTTTTTTTTCCTTTTGGTTCTGTTGTTGGTACCTGTGACTTTGTTATCATTTTACTGTTCGTATTTTTGCTCTTCTCCTTTTTCTTAGGAAGTCTCTAACATTTCATATAATTAGGGCTTGGCGATGATGAACTTCTTTAACTTGACCTTATCTGGGAAGCACTTTATTTGCCTTCCATTCTAAATGATAGCTTTGATGATACAGCAATCTTGGATGTAGTTTCTTGCCTTTCATGACTTGGAATACTTCTTTCCAGCCCCTTCTTGCCTTCGAGAAATCAGCTGAGAGTTTTATAGGAACTCCTTTGTAGGCAACTGTCTCCTTTTCTCTTGCCGCTTTTAAGATCCTCTCCTTATCTTTAATCTTGGGTAATGTGATTATGATGTGCTTTGGTGTGTGCTTCCTTGGGTCCAACTCCTTTGGGACTCTCTGAGCTTCCTGGACTCCCTGAAAGTCTATTTCCTTTGTCAGATTGGGGAGAGGAAAGAGACATCCTTCATTATGTTTTCAAGTAAGTTTTCAATTTCTTGCTCTTCTTCTCCTTCTAGCACCCCTGTGATTTGGATGTTGGAATGTTTAAAGTTGTCCTGGAGGTTCCTAAGCCTCTCCTCATTTTTTGAATTCTCATTTCTTCATTCTGTTCTGGTTGAATGTTTATTTCTTCCTTCTCGTCCACTCCATTGATTGGAGTCCCAGTTTCCTTCCCTTCACTGTTGGTTCCCTGTGCATTTTCCTTTATTTCACTTCTCATAGCCCTCACTCTTTCCTCTATTTTGTGACTATAGTCAACCATTTCTGTGAGCATCCTGATTACCAGTGTTTTAAACTCTGCAACTTGTAAGTTGGGCTATCTCTTCATTGCTTAGTTGTATTTTTTCTGGAGCTTTGATCTGTTCTTTTGTTTGGGCCATTTTTTTCTGTCTTGTCATACCTGTTATATATGTGGGGTGGAACCTTAGGTGTTCACCAGGGCGGGTCAGCCCAGCCTCTGGGTTGTGATGCTGTCTGTAGGGGCAGGGACCGAGAGGGAACAATGGTGCTTGCTCTGCCTTCTCTCGGACTTTAGTCCCTTTTGCTGTTTCCCCCAAGCAAACTGGGCCTTTCTGGTGCTGATTCCCAGGTGGGTGGGTTTGTGTACATTCTAGGACCCTGTGGGTCTCTCCAACAAACTCTTCTGTGAGGCTGGGAGTTTCTCCTGCCACCTTAACCCCCACAGATTTTACAGCTAGAGGTTTGGAGGCTTTATCTCCCCACACTGGAACCCTGGGTTGCGTGCTGTGTCTCACTGCCCCGTTGTTCCTCCCGGTTTACCTGCACGCAAATGTGGGACCACTGGGTCCCCCAGCTGCCACCTTGCTGCGAGTCCTCTCTATCCTGGGTGCCCATTTCTGCCCCTCCACTGGTCCGGATGGATGTTTCTTCTTGAACTCCTTGGTTGTTAGACTTTCATACAGTTTGATTTTCTGGCAGTTCTGGTTGTTTTTTGCTTTTAAATTTGTTGTTGTCCTTTTTTTGGTTGTGTGAGAAGACAAAGTATATCTATCTACGCCTCCATCTTGGCTGGAAGTTAATAGCATTCTGTTCTTGTTTCATAGTTATTTTCTTCAGTTCCTTCTATTAGCTCCTTTTCCTTCTAGTTCTTTTTTTTTTTCTTTTGGGTTTCATTTTAAAGGCTTTCAGAAAATGTCTGGTAAGGTATGGTTGCTTGCTCGTATTTCAAAGTGAGGCACTAACAAGGTAATTGGAAGCACTGTGTATACGTGGGCCAGGATGGCCACTGGAGAGTCTCACTACAGGAACCCCGGCCACTTCACGGGGGGACCTCCAAGGGTCAGGGATGGCAGATCCTTCCTCCAGATCTCTCTCGGGGACAAGCCCCCCACCCCGGTTTTGCTGGGAGGGGCAGGGTGCTGTGAGCCTGGCAGCCGCAAGCCTGGGAGCGGCATGAGGAAAGGTGCTGGGTGGGGGGGACCTTATCGTTCAGCACTGCACGGGTTCCCACGGATTTCCCTGTTGTCCTAAGGGGCCCCATTCCTGTGCTCAGTCAGACCTAGTGTTTGCAGACTCTCAATGAACCTTCCAGAGTAAAACTCCCGTGTTCTGCAGGCAAGGAGGGTCAGTCTCCCTGTTCTGAGGGCCAACAAGGGGGATTTGAGGGTCTAACGCTGTGTTTTCAGCCCAATTCAGAATCACCATGTTAAAGAGGTACCTGGTAGGCCACTTTCTGAGCCCTTCTCTAGTTCTGGGGCACGAATATTCCTGCTGGCTTCCCTACTTCAGCGATGTGAAAAAGTGGGAATTAAATCAGTTACCTGTTACCTGTCAACAGCCCAAAAATTGAGCTGGTACTTTTTACCTGCTATCCCATTATTTGTTCCTATGTATTTACACCTTAACAAAAAATTTTATTCTACAGAGTTATTTTAACAAGATATTGGGAGGAAATGGAGACAAATGTATATATTGAAGGCATCATTTTTAATCGCAGGTGTATCAATAATGACCTTGAAAAAGCTTCAAATTTCTATATGGCTATTTATGGATCTTAAGAAATACATATGCAAGATTTGAGTATTTTTAAGAAAAAAATCTGATCCTTCAAAACAGCATTAATGTACTCTTATTTTATTTCAGCAGTATATGCAACTTACTTTTGAGGCCAATAGGTCAAGCTCAAGGCATTCAGCCAAGATTCGGGAATGAAAGCCCACACGAGGTACAGTACTGTGGAGAGAGGGAGGGCAGAGAGGTCAGTGAGGCAGGCATCTCATCCCTGAGGTTCAGGTACAGAAAAAGGCTGCTGTGACGCTCCCTGGTGCACTGAGAGATGACTGTCCCTCCTTCCAGCTCTTCCGGCTCCTTCTTTGTACCCTTATCCCAATTACTTTCTATTTTTTTTTAAAGTAAATGATAAGCAAAGCCTTTTATTTTTTTGTATTTTTTAAAGATTTTTAATTTATTTATTTTTAGAGAGGAAAGGGAGGGAGATAGAGAGAGAGAGAGAGAAACATTAATGTGCAGTTGCTGGGCATCATGGCCTGCAACCCAGGCATGTGCCCTGACTGGGAATCGAACCTGCGACACTTTGGTTTGCAGCCCGAGCTCAATCCACTGAGCTACGCCAGCCAGGACTTCTATCTTTTTATTGTGGTAAAAAAAAATAGCAGACAACTTATAAAATCCAACCATTTTTAAGTGTACAGTCAGCAGAGTTCAAGTACATGCCCCTCGCTGTGAAGCAGATTTCCAGAGTGTTCCCAGCTCAGAAATGCCCATTCAACAACTCCCCTTTCCTCCATTAGTCAGTTTTTTTTTTACCATGTCATCAACGCTCACACCCTATGTGAAGCACTTTAAGTCAGCAATTTTTGTGTTTCTCACAGCACCTGGTGATGTGTCCTTTACACACAGCAGGTGTTCGACACTTCGTCCCCACAGGGCTGAAATAATGAGGGACATTCAGTCGCTCGAGAGTGAACCACTCTGCTCTTGCTCCGACCCCCTGCATGCTGGGCTTCTGCCTTGTCCCCCAGCACGCACTCTGGTCCCCCTGCAGCCCGGTCTCTGGGGCTGTGTCCCCTGTCCCCCAGCACGCACTCCGGTCCCCCTGCAGCCCGGTCTCTGGGGCTGTGTCCCCTGTCCCCCAGCACGCACTCCGGTCCCCTGCAGCCCGGTCTCTGGGGCTGTGTCCACTGTCCCCCAGCACGCACTCCGGTCCCCCTGCAGCCTGGTCTCTGGGCTGGCGTTTACTACTGTCCTGTAACGGGACAGTGAACCTGGGGCTACCACTGCGGGGTAGGCACACCTCTAAGCACTTCACCTGCATTATCTCATCCAGTCTTCAGGGCAACCCTAGAGAGTATCATGCCATTTTTACAGATGAAAAAATGGAATCTCAGAAATGTTACATCATCTGCCCGAGGTAAATGGCAAAAACAAATGTCAAGTTAACTCTCTCAGTGATGATGAAGGAGTAACATTTTCCTCAACAAATATGCAATATACAGTTTTGTATGTCAGGACTGTGATACACAAAGGTGAATGCAAAAGAGATGGCCCCTGTCCTCCCTGAGCTTAAAATCTAGTGCGAAAGGAGACAAGTAAATGGGTATTTTTAATGTACCAATGAAAATGGTAAGTGCTAATGAGCAAGTAACAGAAAATGATATAGGAGTACCTAAGAAGGACCTCAGCCCTGGCCGGGTAGCTCAGCTGGTTAGAGTATCATCCTTATACTCCAAGGTTGCAGGTTCAGTCCCCGGTCAGGGAACATATAAGAATCAACCAATGAATGTATATACATAACTGGAACAAGAAATCAATGTTTCTCTCTCTCTCAAACCAATTTAAAACATAAAAAGAGAAAGAAGGACCTCAGCCCACACTGGTGGTGATGAAGTTGATGTTCATGGTCAGGAAAGACATCCTGGAGGAAGTAACTGAATTGGGGCCTCAAGGGTGAATAGGGGGTTAGCTGGATTAAAAATGTTGATGGCTGGGCCTGTAGACGAAAGGACGGAAGGACGGAAGAGAAAATGGCATTTTCTGCCGCGATCCACAGAGATAGCAAGAGAGGTCTGGTGTGGCTAGGCGGTAGAGGAAAAAGGGGGAAAGAAACTGGCTTGACGTTGGAGATAGTTTTTAAGGTTAATAAAATACAAACACACAAGCTTTGAGGGGAACACTGAAGGTTCTGCTACTGCCTGCCACTGCGTCCCTCGCTGGGCCTCAGTAAACCGCTGGTGATAATCACACCAGCCTGGCAGACTACTGTGAGAGTCAAATGAAGTCAATTTACAGAAGGAAATTGTTTTACAAAAAAATAATAAAAATAAAAATAAAATACAAATAGTGGGGAAACATCATATAAATTCACAAATGGAAATAGTTTACTTAATCAAATGAATAAGCATTTGTTGAGCATCTACTATATGCCAGGCATTATATAAAGGTCAAGGCTATACAGAAAAACAATACATGGTTCCTATCTCACAAACTAGTGCTGGAGACAGGTAAGAGTCAGGTGTAGCGGCAGGAGCCTCACATGCATTATCTCGTTAGACCCCCTCCACACCCTTCTGAGGTGTGTGCCATTATCCCTCATTCACAGGTGAAAAAACTGAGACTCGGGGCATTGGAGTTGCCCATGATGTCACAGTTGAAAGTGACTGCACTGGAATGTGAAATCCAAGCGCAGTGTGTTCCACTATGCTTTTAGGCCACAGCGAGGGCATTAATAAAAACATGGACTGGCTGGCGTAGCTCAGTGGATTGAGTGCGGGCTGCGAACCAAAGTGTCGCAGGTTCGATTCCCAGCCAGGGCACATGCCTGGGTTGTAGGCCACGGCCCACAGCAACCGCACATTGATGTCTCTCTCTCTCTCTCTCTCTCTCTCTCTCTCTCTCTCTCTCTCTCTCTCTCTCTCTCTCTCCCCTCCCTTCCCTCTCTAAAAATAAATAAATAAAATCTTTAAAAAACACACACAAAAAAACACGGAGGCAAGGAGTTGGGGCAAAACTCTCAGCAGTGTACAACAGCTGGGACATAAAATACAGGCTGCGAGTGTTGAGAAATCAAGCTGGAAAAAACAGGTCCTAGATAACGAAAAAATCTTGTCCTGGGAACATGGAATTTATGCTGCAGGCAATAAGGACAACTGGATAACTTGTTTTAAATTTTAAAGAGACAGCAAGGAGAAAGAACCAGGCACGGTCCAGCCAGAGGTTTTGGGCAGGGGAGTTCAGGCCTGCAGCTCAAGGGAGCCGCTGATCCGAGCAGGGAGGACGCACCGGCGTCAGAGCGGAAGCGGTGGGAGGCCCCACCAGACCCCGTGGCAGGCACGGATGCATGCGTAAGGGGAGAAGGAAAGGTGCAAGTGAAGAACCACCCCCAGTTTTCCAGAATAAGCGTCTACTAACTTCAGCTCCAAACAAATCCGTCTACAGTCATTTCCCACAGGGCGAGGAACGACCTTGCAGAAATGTACATCTGACCATGTCACTTGCCTGCTCAAACCCTTCGGTGCCCTTGGAGTGTAATCCAAGTTCATTACCAGGGCTTGCAAGGACTTCAGTGATCTGGCTGCGGCCCACCTCCCCAGTGTCTGCTCCCCCTGCCCCCCGCGCCAGCTCCACGGTGTCTCAGGGCCACTACACTTGCCGTGAGTACCGTCTGCCTGGAATGTTCTTCCCTTGGTTCTTTGAATGGATGGTTCCTGCTCTTCCCTCACGTCTTAGCTCAAATCCCACTTTCTTAAGAGCCGCTGTCTGTCCTGGCTCACTTGCTATTCCAGCTGTGTCCCACCCATCATGTTCTCATTACTCCTTACCAGTTCCCCTTATTTCCTTCAAAGCTATTACCATTTTCTGTAGTTACTGTTACGGACGGAATGTTTGCCTCCCTCTCAAATTCACGTGGTGAAGCTCTAATCCCCAGCATGGTGGTATTGGAAGGGAGGGAGGAGACGCCTTCATGAGATTGGGGCCCCCATGCTAGGATTGGGGTCCTTTTAAGAAAAAAGAGAGATCAGAGCTTTGCTTTCCTGTTCACTCTCCCCCTAATACCACCCCTCCCATCTTGCACTTTCCAACTTCCAGAACTGTGAGAAAAAACGTCTATAGTTCAAGCCACCCAGTCTATGGTATCTTCTTACAGCTGCCTGAGCAGGCTAAGAAAATTACTTTGTTTTTAAATCAGGGAATATTTCAACAGAGAGAATTATGTAATCCTCCTGCCTGCCCCTACCCCCCACCTAGTTCATAACTGCCGAGTACTGACCTCTGACCTCCTCTATCTACTTTCTGCCTCAATGTCTCTGGTTTTAATCTTACTAACCTCCATCTGTCCCTCCCCCCACAGGCATGCTTCCCCCAGAGGGCCTCTCTACTGGCTATTCTCTGCCTGGGAGCCTCTTTCCCCAGAGGGCCACATGGCTGACCTGCACTTTTCTTCCCTTTTTTTTTATTAAAACACATTTTATTTATTTATTTTTAGAGAGAGGGGAAGGAAGGGAGAGAGAGAGGGGGAGAGAAACATCAATTGGTTTCCTCTCACTCGCCCCCAACCCAGCACCTGGTCTGCAACCCAGGCATGTGCCCTGACTAGGAATTGAACCAGCAACCTTTTGGTTCACAGGCCGGCATTCAATCCGATGAGCCACACTAGTCAGGGCCACACTTTTATGTCTGTGCTTAAACCTCAGGGCTCAGCAAGGCACTTCCAGACTGCTGTATTTAAAACAGCAGCCTCTTCCCACTTCTATATCCTCCTTTCTTGCTTAATTTCCCTCCATAGTACTTCCTCATCTGACATTGTGTATGCTTAATTGACTTACTTTGTCCACTGGCTTTCTTGCTGCACTAGAATGAAAACTCTGTGGAAATTTTGGCTGTTTACTCCTCCTCTGCCTATAGCAGTGCTCTCAAAAAACTGTTGAATTAATTTTTATTGGGCGTTATTATTGGATTTAAGTCTTAAAGTCATTGATTTTATTTATGTGTATAGTTTCTAATCCTTCAAATACACTATAGAACAGGAATTTACAAAAATGTGTTGATGATGATAATAACAGCAGCAGCTAATATTTATCAATACTTAGTGTTCCTATGCATTGTTCTAAGTGCTCTGCATAAATTATGGCAATTACTCCTCACAACAGCCACCAAAACCAGCCGCCTGAAGACAACCCAGTGTCTGGGCTCAAATTCTAGCTGTCATTTGCTGGCTGCAAGACCTCGGGCGCGTTGTTTAAACCTCGCCTGCCTCAGTATTCTCATTGGTTAAATGAGGACATTGATAATAACATCTACCTTACAGGACAGTCTTGTGACTGATGAACAGGGAATACACTTTATTACCAGCTTCTTACATGTGAAGCACCTGAAGTCTCAGAGAGGTTATTTAAATGGCCCCAGGTCACACAGCTCATCCGTGGAAGAACCGACCTTTGATCTCAAGTTATAACTTCATTCCAAAGCCTCCCTTACCCAACAGCTTGCCTGGCTATACTGGTGCAGTGAAGGTTCGTACCCCCACCTTCCTAGTTCCTAACAAACTCCAGAAAGTTGGATTATGGGTACCCAATTTTCTCCCTCTTGACCCCTCGTAATACTCAAATCCTTTTGGGGCGAGATGTGGGGCCTGCTATGTGACTCTGGCGATCAGTGTCTTGGGAAGCATCCGTTTACCTGTAAAATGGGATCTTCCAGGGACTGAGTGAGACCCAGGATGCAAAGCGCACCTGACTGCTCTAGCCTAACTCCCTTCCCTCACCAGCTCTCACACGAAGGGCTGGAGCCTCTTCCAGAGCCTTTGCTCGGGGCCTTCCCACTTCTCCCTCCTTATGGTGGGAAAGAAAGCTAAATTGATCTCACGTCTCTCCCCTGGGCTCCCACGGCGCGGATCACCCTGAGTGGTAACTGCAGATTCACTCCTGCGTCCTGCCCACAAAACCAGGACTACAGGCACCAGGTTTTACGCAATCTTGTCTGGTACGGTATACACACTTGTTAGGGTGACATCTTTTTAGGCTAGTACCTGGCATACAGAACGCTCTGAACAAACACGAGTGCTTTCTTCAGGCTTTCTTAAAAAGACCCATAGGGAGGTACAAAGAATCACAATTCATGTGTGCTCATCCTAGTAACAAACACAACAACTCCATTGTCTTGGAACACCAGAAAAAGGCCACACGGCCATCATCCAGCAGGAAAGTACTTACTGAAGCCAAACTGGGAGCTTAAGAAAAGAACAAAGCCATAAATCGCTCTTTCTGGCAATGGCGACGGTGAATTTTCCACCATCTTCCCTGCGGCTTTGAGACAACCTGTGGGAAAGAAGCACAGTCGCTGTCAGTGAGGTATTCCCCTGATTGGTCTCGCGTAACCTCATCGCTTTGCTCCGGGCGCAGCCTCTGCAGTGCTGCTTCCAGCCCACCCCACTGCGAACGGTCATCCTGCGCACACCCCTCCAACACACGCACGCTTGCACTCGCGCGCATCAGCACCCACGCCTAACCTGCACGCGCACACCAGCCGCCGAACCTCGCGTGCACGCGCGCACCCTGCAGCAGAGGGGAGGGGACGCCCCTTCCCAGCTGCAGGCTTCGCCTTCCTGCGGGAAGGGAAGGGGTGGGCAGTGCCCGAATCGGGCGCACGCGGGCGGCTAGGACCCAGCCCCTGGGGGAGGCGGGGAAGGAGAGTTTCTGTTTCTCATTCGAGATCAAGGTGGCCCTCTCAACCCTGAGTCCATCCAGCACCCACTTGGGCCCCTCCCTACAGTTCGGCCATCTCACAGAGTAGTCCCCTGGGCGAGCGCCGACCCCCGGAAGCTGCAAGGAGGGGAGAAAACAAAAACAAAAGCCCCGAGTGACTGCGACCCTCCTCCGGGCCGAGCTCCGCAGGGCTCCCCGGCCGGCCGGCCGCCGCGCAGGAGGGGGCGGGGCCACGCAAGTGCGCTGCGGCCCACGTGACGCCCCGCCTTCCGCGTCGCCGCTCGCTCCCGCCAGCCCGGGCTGACGTGGAGGGCCTCTGGCGGCGGCTGCGGCCGCCCGCGTCCGAGGCTCGCGGGCTGCGGGCCCGGGTGAGTGCGCACCTGGTGCGCGGCAGGGCTCCTGGATGTGTCACCTTATCGCACTGCATCCAAGATGAGCGGGGAGAGGGGCCCTCCACACCCCCTCCGTGGGCGTGTGGTGAGTGTGGTTGTGTGCGCGTCGCCCGCTTCGGTGCCCGCCGTGTGCCCGCGTGGGATGGGGGTGTGTGGCCGCTTTTGTCCTCCCGAGTGGGTGTGTCCCTTCTGGCTGGTGTCCTTCTGCAAGCATCTGCCCATGCTGGTGTCTGTGTGAGAGTGAGAGTAGTCTCTTTGTGTGCGCATCCCCTGGCCGCCCGCGCACCCTAGTCTGGAGAGTGGCACCGCAGCTCGGCGAGGGGTCCTCAGGCTCCTGCGCGCCGGCACGCGCCCGTGTGTCCCCTCCTCGCCCATTTGTGTCGGTGCGGACTCTCCCCAGTGACGGCGTGGGCGCCCCCGGCCGGTGTGGGTGGTTTCCTTTCTGTGTCACCGCCCCTCTCTGGGGCGTGCGAGTCCCCCTCGCGCGTGTTCGCACCTCCTGCAGGCGTGACCCCCCGCCTGCAGCATCGCCCGCCCGGGTGTGCGTTCTCGCGTGGCCCCTGGCGCGTGCCGCGCCTGGGTCCTGTTCAGTGCGTGATCCGTGTGTTTGTGGGTGTTCGTGAAAGTGCGTGCACGTCCTGTCCACTGTGTTTTGTGTTTCCTGCATCTGCGCCACCTGGTTTTGGGAGTAGCAGCGGAGTCCTGGCCAGCGCCTCCCATCCCCAAGCTGGGGAAACGCGAGCGGAAGTCAGCCCGGGGTTCCCAGCTCCCCGACGCCTCTGCGGAGCGTCCTCCACCCCCCAGCCCCCCACCCCCGAAGTTAATGGGGGGGAGGGGTGGGGGGACAGCAGCGGGTCTAGGCAGCTGCTGCGTAGTGTTGATGACGTCCGGTGTGGCCTGTCCAGCCAGCCTGTTCCTAAGGGGGGCCAGGGATCGGCACACGAGCCGAGGCGTGGGTGAATCTGGGCTGGTACCAGTGCGTGCCTTTTCCAGAGGTGCCCCAAAGCCCCTCAGTAGCAGACTTCTTCCAAAATTTGCACAATCAATACATTCTAGCCGACCCTGGCGTTCTCGGTAATACTTAGCGATTCGTACAGTGTTTTCTGGCGTTCACAAAAATTCTCCCTTTTGATTCTGCCCAACATCCTGGCTAGGGAAACAAAGCAGACGTTTCACAGATTTTACTGCTCCCCTGGGAGCAGTTTCCTCATAGTTACAGCTCTAGCTAGGACATTTATTACTTAAAGAATCTTGCATTTTATCTTAAGGGAAATGGGGTTTATTTCAGGGATACGCGGGGAAGGAAACTTCAAACCCATAGGCACCCAGCTGCTCCTCCTGAGCAGTGCTCTGCACCCTAGGGCTGCGTTTTGGTGTGTTACCTCCCTCTGTTCATTTGCTCAATTTTCTTATTCTTGCCCAATTTTCCTTTTTAATTTCTGGCTTATTAAATGTACACAGGGGGAGCTGACCAATCTGTGACTCAGATTTACAGATGTGGTAATTCCGCCACATTTAGTTCAGATTTTTTTTTTAAGATTTTATTTATTTATTTTTAGAGAGGGAAGGGAAGGAGAAAGAGAGAGAGAGAGAAACATCAATGTGCAGTTGCTGGGGGCCGTGGCCTGCAACCCAGGCATGTGCCCTGACTGGGAATCGAACCTGCGACACTTTGGTTCCTGGCCAATGCTCAATCCACTGAGCTACGCCAGCCAGGGCTTTTTTTTTTTTTTAAGAAATAAAATTGTAGACGTTGGCGGTGCTCTCAGACCCTGCCCCTCCTTCCCTAGAGATAGCCACCTCGTCTAGGCTGGTGTATATCATTCCTTTGCATCCATAAATGGTAATACGGTGTTGTGTTTTTAAACTTTAATGATATGAAGAAAATATGTCTTTTTGCAACTTGCTTTTTTTTTCAATCATCCTTACACTTTGAGATTTATAAACAAATAAATTGGAAAATTGTGTTGTCTTTCATTCTTTTTTTTTAAAAGATTTTATTTATCTATTTTTAGAGAGGGAAGGGAGGGATATATATATAGAGAGAGAGAGAAACATCAATGTGCGGTTGCTGGGGGTTATAGCCTGCAACCCAGGCATGTACCCTGACTGGGAATCAAACCTGTGACACTTTTGTTCGCAGCCCGAGCTCAATCCACTGCGCTACGCCAGCCAGATGATTCATTCATTTTAATTGCTGGTATAGAATACTATTGTATGAATATACCATTATTTACTTACCCATTTATCTATTGATGGATTCCGGTTGTTTCTGGTTTTTGACTCTAAAAACAAACCTGCAGTAAACATCTTTGTATTTGTCTGTACACAAATCTGGAAGCTTCTCCAGGAAATACACCCAGCAGTAGATTTGCAGGGTGGTATGATGTGTGCATCTTCAACTCAACCGAGTACCACAGAAGCTCTCAGAATGGTGGCGCTGATGTTCGACTCACTGGTATTGAGTAAGGACACGTCTTCTCGCCTCCTTGCTGACAGTTTATGGCATCAGACTCGAACATTTTGCCTTCTCTTTACTGACCAGCTTCCTTATAACTTTAGCTCGTGGCTAAATTTGGCTTCTGCCTTAGCCTGGCGTCAGTATGGGGGCTTCTGTCCTCTCACATCTGACTGGCTGAGTACCTCACTTGGGCCCCACGAGCTCAGTCCCACACATTTTGTACCTACTGTGTGTCAGTTCCTATGGTTGATGTAGAGGAAAGGTAGTACTTCCACATTATAAATACCTCTCTAGTGGCAGGTGGTGTGATTTAATTTTTTCACACGATGAGTTTTTAAAAATATTCTTTCTCTTTATGTAATGTAATTCATGATACATTCAAAATATTTGTAACCTATTTCAGTTGTGAAGCAAAACAATAAAAGGAACACCTATCGATCCACCACTCATTCCAAGAAACAAAATGACCAGTATTGAATGTGCTAACCCCCAGAGTGACTGCTTTCCTGAATTGTGTCATTCATTGCTTTTTAAAAATAACTTTATCAGATAATGTACACATCCCTTTACAGTGTATGGTTTCTTCTATCTTTGAGTTTTTGTTTTACAAGGGAATACAGTTCTTTTTTTTAAGATTTATTTATTTACTTTTAGAGAGAGAAGGGAGGGAGAGAGAGAGAAACATCAATGTGCGGTTGCTGGGGGCCGTGGCCTGCAACCCTGGCATGTGCCCTGGCTGGGAATTGAACCTGCAATACTTTGGTTCCCAGCCCATGCTCAATCCACTGAGCTCCGCCAGCCAGGGCTTGTCTTTGAGTTGGTTTTTTTAAAAAGGAATACTGCATACCATTTTCTGGGAATTGCTTATTTCACTCCATGTTATGTACCTAAGGGTCATTCATACTAAGAATAGATTTGTCGTTAATTTTCTTTGCTGTGTGATATTCCACGGGTGAATATAACATAGTGTATGCATTCTTCTGTCGATGGGCACTTTTTTAAAGGTTTTGCTGTTTATGAAGATTCTTGCACACATCTTTTGCAAGAATTTCTTGCACACATTTGCAAGAATTTCTCTAGTTTTCACACTGGGTGTATGACCCCCAGGGCAATGGTGACGCTTTTTCTAGGGAGTACTTAGGCACACGTGACATTAACGAATCAATTTATAGATAAGGTTCACGTGCACTCTCCTGAAATTGGTATTGCCCGAGGCCTCCCTCCCTCGAGTTCCAGTTAGCACTCTGCCTTAGATGAGGCACGCCGCTCACCCACGGGACTCTTCCGGGGGCATTGCCCCACGTGGGAAGACTGCCCCACGTGGGAAGATTGCCCCACGGAAAACAAGGGGATAAGTAAAAAAAAAACAGCGTTTAGGGTTAGGGAAAGCCTTTATCAGCCCAGGAATTTTCCATCTCAAGAACTGCATTCCAAAAAAACTTAACATTTTCTGTTTGACTGACAGCATGTATAGCTATTTTTATCGCTGTTATAATAATTACAGCAATTTAAACCAATGGTATGTCTCTTTTATTTTAAAATGTCACTGTGATACTCCGGAAATTCATCCTGCGCAATTATTAAAATGTAGGCGAAGATTTTTGAATATCATCTTGAAGTGCGAAGAGTATGTAATTTTTAAAAGCATTTTTGTGGTTTGCAATAGCACTGTGGTGATCTATTTGCTAGAAGTGGAATTGCAGAGTTACGGGCTATGAGTGTTCAACTTTACAAAATGATACCAAATTGTTTTCTGAAGTGGTTATACCAGCTTATATACTTTGGCCAGCAGTTTTGTCAAATTGTAAACTTCAACTAGCAGTGTTCATGAGCTCTGGTTGATCTACCTCTTCTCCAACACTTATCATCGCCAAACTTCTTACTGTTTGCCAATCAGACGGTGTGAAGTGATGGATCCCTGTGGTTTTAATTTGCATTTCGATTGTCAGTGAGTTTGAGTGTCTTCTCATATGTTTACAAACCTTGTTTTCCCTTTGTGAAACACTTGGCATATCTTTTACCCGTTTTACCATTGGGTTGACTTTTAAAGCTAAAACGGGAACACCGACCCTTTGTTGATTATATGCACTGCAAGTACCTCTGTGGCCCATTTTGTCACCGTGACGCATTCAGGGGAATAGAAGTTCTTAACTTGAATGTAATCTAATTGGAAACT